TTGGGAGGAGATAAGTGAACTGAGGACTTTTTTAAAAGAACTTCCCTCTAGTTTCAACTTGTACGCCCCTGTCCACGTTTCACAGATCATTTTGAAGACGTTCTACAGTTGTCATGCTCAGTGATTGAAGATTTTTAATTAAAAATAAGACTTAAATTCTGAATACGAATTCCGAATCAATGTTTCAGACCAGATTCAGTTATTTCCCAGCAGTGTAGAACATCCTATCAAGCCCAGCAGCAATATCTTTCTTATAAGGTGGTCGCCAAAATTGTACAGAATATTATAAATAAGGTATTAATATTGTACAATTTAGCATTAAAAATTAATGGGAGTTTGTAAATGGATGTGCAGGAGGAACTCAATTTTCTAATTTTGCCCATTTCAACTATCTTGCGTATAAATACCAGTCTTTACGCTTTCCAGAGACAGACGGTACCTTTCATTTCTCCATTTCTCTTTAACTTTTCATCCTCTGTCATTCCTGCCAGTTCCAACAGCAATGATTCCATCTGTATAATGAACTGGATTGTATGCTTTATGACTTATAAAATTGGTAGGCAAGAATAAGAACATCTAACATCACAAAGAGAAAATCTGAATTCAAAAGTGTATCCAAACTGGGATAGTTCCAGTTCATACAGTATGTGTGCAATGCATTTTACATGCCCTGCAGGAGCTTAATCATTAGATAAAGGACAGCAAGGTTTGTACTGGCTTAGGACTATGAACTGCAAGTGTCTAATATTAGCTGTGGACTACAATATTCACTCCATTTGCAATGGTCTTGCCTCAGGCCGGTCAAGGAACAGCATCTGGGAATAATTCACCTCAGCAGCACATCTCGTCCCTGGGATCTGTGCTGAGCCTTGGGTGATGGTTGATTAATAGTCATGTGGACCTCAGGTCCTCTGAGAGGAGCAGAATGTGCTGATTGAAATCAAAGAGTGAAAAGAACATCCACTTTGACCAGCTTTCTCGCAAATGTGAACTAACCCGAACATGTCTCTCGGTGCCGTCCTTTGGCTTGCTAGAGGTCACTTCCATTTCTCCGATCCAATGGAAAGCCTCCACTTCGGTAATGGATTGGGAATGTTGCAGGTGGGAGGAAGCTTATGTTTTGATCTAATGGTGGCACTGGTCAACAGGATATATTGTCTCTTCTGGTTTTGGTTTCCAACTGTGTACTGAATTACTTGGGTCACGCAATCACGCAGAACAATAGAGTTTTTTAGTAAATTAACTAATCTCATTTAGTAAATTAGACTAAGTTAGGGAAGGAGTAAAAGCCTGAATATTGCCTCTTGAGCACACAGTTCGCGACTGAGTTATGAGTCTATGACACTCAACTAGGCTTTACAGTATTCGTCCTCTTTGCTCAGGCAGAGGTGATATTGTAGAAAGGAGGCTTCAAAGATGCATTCCAGTGAAGTGAAACAATATAGAGTAACAGGGTGATGAAAAGAGAGTGCCGAGCTTCAGATTAGTCTAGAACAGATCACCAGGAGAAGGATCCCAGCAAGTTTTTGTAATAACCTGGGGACAGATTCACTAGGTACGCCTCTTGAAATGTTTTATCTGGCATTCTGTCTCTGCTAAAATAGATTGGTAAAAATTAAACAAGGCAGAAGGGTAATTTGAGTGGGCAATCAGCAAAGTTACCCACATGATTGAGAGGAGGACTGTTTCCCCTTTCTCACATTATACATTCCTCAGTGCTCTTAAACTGGATTTATTGGGTTTCCATCAGAAAGTGCTTCATGCAGCAATGCCCTGGAAAGGACTCAATTTTAACCAATTTAGGAATCAAGACCTCAGCTGAAACCAAAATAAGAAGACACTGTGTCATTTTAATAATAATATATGGATTATCATTGAGTTTCTATGGAAATGGCCCGGTTGTTTGTAGAATCCTCTAGGTTTCTATAGAGATCTGAGGCATGGGGGTAGCCCATAGGAAGACTTTGAGTTTATCATAGAGTAGAGGAGGGGAGGTTATTCCTTCAGAGTTGCATATTCTAGTATTTGATTTATTTTGTGCCTTCACATTTTAAGTTCCTCAGTAAATTACTGGTATTAGAAAATTACAGCTTTCTTTATGTATGTTGTGGATTCAGGACAGACGTGCAAAATCTAAAAGGATTCAGGATTTTACAGTGCCACCATATCAAGACAATCCTTAACTTTGTCTTTCAGTGTTTGCAACAATAAACAAAACGCAAATACACAGGCCAGCAAGAAATTCTCCTCCAATTTGTAGTGATTTTGGTTAGTGATAAATGAAAAACACATTTAATTAAGCACATTGCAAAACTTAATTCTAACTTGTCTGAAAGGCCCACTATTCTTTTCTGTAGCTCTGGTGTCTCCATGATCTTTGAGGAAATTTGGAGACTTTCCATATCAGGACATCCTGAAAGGGAATGTTCTCTCTAGCATTAAACACAGTTTCAGTCTTCATGCCAACAAATGCAGGTACAGTATGTGCAGTTATGTGATGGATGATAAAGTAAATTTAAATTCTTTGTGGGTGTCTCCCAATGAGAACCACCATGAGGAACAATGGCACTTTTGCACTTTTGCAAAAAACTGCCTTCTTCAAAAGGATTCTGAACTGCTGTGCAGCAGATACATTTCAAGGTAGCAATTCTCATACCTAAAACAAAATAGCCTCCCGTTAAACCTTTACAGAATTAATTACTTACATCTGCATGATCTTAGAAGGCTTTTATGGTACTTAGCTATCAGATTGTTTTTACCGTATTTTGTTTTCTCTATTGTATTAGCTTTGCATAGCTCACAGCATAATTCAGCCCCTTTTTAAAGAAGTTTTAAACTGAAACCAAAACTGTTTCCTGAAGGTGCATCCGTGACCATTACTTTCCTTATTTAGAAAACTAAACAGCTTCTCCACTAGAGTTCTTAAGCTCACCTGAGACCTATTTTGTTTTGTGAAGGAAATCAACACTTCTCTTACTGCAGTACATCATATAAAATGCAGGCACGGCATACTAAAATCAGAACGTGACAACATTATAGACAATTCTGTAAGCTTTTTTTAAATTTCAAACAGTTGTATTTCATTTCCATAATGATAAAAAAAATCATACCAATTTCTGAACTACTCTTCCTTTCAACTGCTTGTAATGGGATCTAAACCGCCCGGTTAAGAAATCAATTCACTATTCAGAGTAATTAATCAAATCTAACCCAGATACAAGAAAATGGGGGAACCTGGAACACATAGTGAAAAATCCAGTAAAAATCAGATGAACATGCTAACTCCACCTCTAAGTGGAACAATAAATGAACATCATATGTATAGCTAATGTTTCTGTTTTTGAATTAAATATATATAAAAAAAAACATTACAATGCATTGCACTGCAGTAAGAAAATGCATTTCTAACTGCAAGCAAATCTCAACCTTGTATTTTGTATGAACTGAAAGGTTCCATGCTATGATTTACTGTGACATGTGACTGAAATCAATAAGATCTCCTCTGTATCACTCAACAGCCAGCTCAAGGTGCAAGGACCTATGGGTGTTGAATTAAGGCTCATCAGACTGTCTTATTACATTTAATTGCATTAAAGAATCAGATCTCAAATGCCATAGCCTCAGGAAACAACAGAAATAGTTCTCCTCTCTGGTTCAGCCTGATTTCGAGATACTGCAGTAATCTGTGCTGTATTTCTTGAGGCATTAAACTTCACCTAAAGAGCTTGACCTCTATATCACAAGCTCTGTGCTGTGGGTTTTGTTTACTGCCTTAAAAACCATGAAGTCTTAACCTTTAACTCAGTAGAAAAAAACAACAACCACCTACTACTTATGTGATCATCTGTGGGAACAGCTCATCAGTATTGCTCTATGAAGTGGAAAATAAAGGATAGATATTAAAGGCGTCTATACTCTATGGAAAGGAAAATCGGAAAATCTTTGTAAACAATACATCCATTTGGCCCCCCTCACACCCTAACAAATAAAGAAGAAAATTCTTAGATGAACCATGAAATTGCATACATCTTAATTTTTGATATTCGTGCGGGATAGCTTGAAAGAAAAAAAAACCAAGTAAACAAAAAAAACCCCAGAGACTTCGAACTATCTTCTGAGACAGCTGTCCACTGCAGGCATCTATATTTTTTGGGGGGGAAATTGAAGATGAATTCTCCTGTGTGTAGCCAAACAAACTACTGTAAGAAGTCAGAATTATCTGTCAGCTCAATGCTTTGGGGATCCAGCTAACACAAACTCTTCACTGTAATGCTTGGCTGAAACTTTGCCAGATAGCATCATCGGAATGAAGGTTCTTAAAAATGAATCCCTGTCTTTGCAGCAAATAAATGCAAAGAAAGTTACGAGGGTTATATCTGGACTTGCATTACATCAGGCCTTCACAATTATAATTCAAGAAAATGTTTTCTTATTGAAGTAATTCCTTATACTTATATTGCGCTTTTCGAGACACTCCACTCAAAGCACTTTACAGGTAATGGGGATTCCCTCCACTACCACCAGTGTGTAGCCCCCATCTGGATGATGCCCCAGTCCGCTCCCCACACACCAGCTATCAGTGGGGAGGAGAGCAGAGTGATGAAGCCAGTTCATAGATGGGGATTATTAAGAGGCCAATGGATAGTTTGATTGGGGAATTATTCTTAAGAAAGTTTTGTTTCATACTGTACAAAAATCTGTATGTTGTTCTAAAACACATAGTCTAAAAATGGCTGGAACAACAGGTTTTTACAGTACTTACGTTTCGTTCAGAATGGAAATGCATTTTTATTTCCATTGAAATAAGCAAAGAAAACAAAATATTTCAAACATAGGCCGAGAACATATGTGCAGTTTAAACTTTTACAACGCATGCTTGCATATAGCAATGTAAAAGGAATTAGGGTTTTTTTTGTGTATGCACTCCAACTTTACTGACTTGGAAAGAAAACACAGAATTTTAGAACCACTAATTGAAAGATGAATCAAGGCCGCAGGTGAAATGTTTCATTACATTTAATGCAAAACAATTTAAAAATACCACATTAATAATGGGAAAATAATCAATCTGCTTCCTGCTATACAATATCAAACTTGTGTCTTGATTTCAGAATCAGAACAGAGCACTTGAACAAGAGAGTGAAAAGGAGTATAAACATGATAAAGTTAATACATGGCAACTGTTAACTCGTGTATAGTATTGCATCAAAAAAGCATGAGAGAATTGTAACATGCTGAGGTTCTTTTGTTCCTTAAGCTCTAATATTTATCTATCAAGAAGATATAGTACCCATATTCTTGAAGTGCCAGACTGATGTCCTTCCAAGGTCTCGATGGCTTATAGGGCCAGATCTTATTGTACATTCTTTAGTGTTAAGTGGTCATAGATTATGAGACATGCCCTACATGTGGCTCTGATTTAATAATCCCCTGCACAGCGCTGGTGCTTGTTTGTATAGATGGGCTAACTAAAGCACTGAGAGTTAACATCAGCATCAGTGCTATAGACTCGAACCGACAATCTCCGTCCATAGACCCACGATTCCAGGCTGGCCCCTTCAAGAAGTGTACCTTCATAATCAAGCTTCTGTGCATCACACACAAGAGTACTTCAATAGCTATCCAAAGCAAGACGGATAAAAATGCATAACAGGTACGCAGTAGAACAGTGATGTCTGTAAAAGGCACGAGTGTATTTATATGTAAGCCCACAGGAAGTACAAAAAGTTCTAACTTCCTTCCATCAGCTCCCGTCCCAGTACAACTGAGACTCTAGTTCTTGGAGGATGAATACAAAATTATTCAAGGAGATATAACAAATGGTGCCCAATTTTTTTTCTCAGTGCGTCTCCTTCCTTTCTTCTTCCTTAGTGTCCTCCAGAGCTTTGAGGGGAAAAGACAAAGACCTGCCAGCGCCCAGAGACAGCTAGCCGGTTCCAGAAAACGAGAGGTCTTGGAAAACAGCCCCTGAAGCAAACGCTATATTCAGCATGTGATGCTTCACAGATCACAGGGATGACATTTCTTTGGAATAGGACCCATCCTCTCCAGAAATTCCATTGTTTGTCTTTCTTTTTCAATGTTTGTGGTGTTCTTCCCGGCTGCAGTGTCTACCTTCACATACTGTACCTTTGCTAAAAATCAATGCTCAGGACCCTCCTTCTCACCACACAGGGGAAGACAGAGGCTTCTTTGTTATGCTAAAATATGTGCAACTGAAGATTATAAAATTGTGCGAGAAGAGTATTTTTGAAGCATACAACAGTGTAGATATATACAGGCCATCTTTTAGAATATGAATAATAATGGAAGACAAGCTGCAACTAATTTGTGGTACCTTTCATTCAGTTCTGCTTCAAGGAACAACACATACCAGCTATCCATTGCTGTGTAAGGAAATGTAACCAGCAAGAAGTGTCCGTAGGATCTTTACAGGAGTATAGAATGCCTGCAAGGCACCAAAAGGATATAACACAACATATGAAGAGAGATCTAGCTAAACGTAGGTTATCTCAAGCTATATGGCACAATACAACTTTCATGTGACTCTAATAACATGGCCATACACTACAATTTTCCAGTCTCAAACACCAAAATCCCACTGCCTCTCCATAGGTTATAGGTAGTTTGTCAGTCATACACTGTTCTTAGAAAGGCCAAAGTTTTATACAACATACCATATCATGTGTATAGCTTGTCTTATATATATTTAATACATTCAATGTCCTAAATGTCAAAATGCAGCTTTTGATTTTGCTTAAACGGGGCACAAGTTTCCGTGTTATTCCTCCTAAGTCACAAGGTCGGGTTAATACAGCGCAGAAAAAACAAAAAACTGGCTTGCTCAGCAAAGGAAAGCTGAATTAAGCAACAAATCTACTGCAGGCAGAAGAGAGGAGTAACTGTCTGAGTCTTAATACAAAACCTTAAGCTACGAATCAAAACGGCTCATCTCCTTTCACTTTAGCTGACATACTGCTGCAAGCTCACAACAGAATATATGATAGAGGAAATTGCTGATCCTTCCCGAAAAAGTCTTAGAAAGTCCACCCCCTAGAAAAACCAATAGAAAGATGGACAATATTACAATGATGTGTGTGTATATATATATAAGGAATCTGGGCCTTCATCTCAATGTCCTGCTGTGGCAAGCGAAGTGGGAGTTATACTGCGGCCGTCATCGCGTTCTTCTGCCGGGGGTCCTGGCGGCGGCCGTCTCCATAGCCGTAGCCCTCGGGGCTGGCTGTGCGATAGCCCGTCCGGGTCATGGTGTCGTACCGCTGGGACCGGAGCGGCATGGGGGGTGAGGGCGGGACGTCCTGGCGGAGTGGGCCCCTCTGCTGGGGCGGGGGGGGGTAGTAGCTGGGCTCCCCCTGCCGGGGCTCGGAGGGGCGCGGATAGTTCCCCCGGGAGGTGTACGGGGGGTACATGGGCTGAGCCCCAGGGTAGCGCAGGGGCTCCCTCTCCCCCTGTCCTGCCCACGGCGGCAAGGGGTACTCGTTAGGCTCCATCGGTCCCCGCCTGGAACAACAAAGCGGATTCATCACCAACAACCGAAAACAGACCCGTACCTCTTTTTAACAAACGGAATTCATTCCCAGAAACCCTTTCGTACAGTGAACATTTCGTGAAAAGGAAATCCTATTTCCCATTATCCCTTACTGGGAAAAATTACAATCTGTACCCCCCAAAAAATGTCACCCCCTACTTTTACTTTTTTCCCCACCACAAAATAACAAAAGAAACAATAATGACTAACATTTATACCATTTTTAGCAATAAAAAACACTGCTTACCTAGTAAGACATCATTAATAAGTACAGTACTGTAGTGTACAGTAACCATTTCATTGGCTTTTTGTGTAATTGTCACACACACTCAAAATTTTCATTTTCATAAGACCTTTAGGGACCTAAAGTCTAAATCACAAATTTTCCTACACGAAAGGTAAGAACGCACACAAAACTGAACAATGCACGAAGCAAGACGCAGTGAACTGTATGACCCGTGCCACTCCGTAGGAATGACATGCAAACACTCAATATGAAATGAGTTGTATGACGCCCTCCTCTTCACTCTACATTTGGCGAAGTTTTGACATTTGTCTTTGCATCGCTTCTTCGTGGTTTTGAAATTTGCTTTCATTTTTTTGAAATGTGGGTAAAAATTCACGTGCTGCGTAGTATCCAGTTTTCATGAAAAAAACATTCGCAAAAGAACTACGGGTGTGCTTTTATATATTCAGAGTCTGATCTTAATTACTCCTTTGACTTTTAGTATTGTACACAATATTCATCCCCTGCAAAAATGAAAACAAAAATGCTTGTCTCGTTTACTTAGTTCAGTAAAATAATCCACAGTCTGCCTGTGAATTCTTCAAGTCGGATATCCAGCCATTTAATAAACAGGAGCATCTTAAAAAAAGAATGATTTTTATCCTTCAACTCCACTCTTCAACAGCACAGAACTCATGATGTAGGTGTGAATGTACAAGCAATATATAACACATTTTTCTAATTCACAAGATGCTTAACAAGATGTCTGTAGTGAGATTCATCTGCATCTCTGTTAATCATTCCAAGCTGTGCTTCAAAACACAAGGTGACATGCACAAGCAAGCAAGGAATCTGTATATAAATACAGTGAGCATCAAAAGAAACATCACTTTCAACTGCAACAAATCCAACAGATTGTTACGAGGAAAATGACTGTCATTTTTTGTTTGTTTACGGAACAGACATGACAATAGGTACATCCATTAAAATCTGTCATCAACAGGAGCTCCACTGTGAAAGTCTAGCAGCATGCGTGTGCTCTGACAAAGCAGCTGCCTGAGAGAGCTACAGATTCTCCTGAAGTCACCAGAAAGCCTCAAAACCCCTGTCTAGAACTTGCTTCTATAGGATACTACAGGTGCAGAATTGGGAAAATGAGATTTACAGGGGGAATCCCAATTACACCAAAATGCTCTGATATCTCCAATAGAACAGCATAAAAGAGTAACTGAGGAAAGTCAGTCTACGTAGGGGCTCAGTATTGAGAAGCATCTCGGAATAATTCAATTTTTCAAACAGTGGTGGCTATGTTATTTAGGAAAAGACATGGGTCAAGCGTCTGACATGGGTTTCAGAAAACACCGACTTCTTTAGATACTAGATATCCAATCTAAGAGCAACATTCATGACTATTGTCTGATTTATAAGCCATTAAGATTGATGATAACAGAATATTTTGAAAGAAGCCGACTCACTGCCTTAAGAGAACAAGCCCACTCTTACACAGTGCCAAATGCAGAAAGCGATATGAGCTATACATCTGCAATGCATGCTTTGCACTGCTTTGCTTTCACTAGTTTGCAGATACTGTCTTGTGGGATTGTGTCCCCACTACTTGCAGATCCTGGACAAACCCATCTGGGTCTCTGAGCCCTGAATGTGACCTGTCATCTCTGTTCATCTCACAGATTTTCAATGGGGTCCACATCTTGTGAGTTGAGTAACTGAAATTACAGCCGTCATATTCTCGTCTCACCAGAGATCGTTGCACCAAGCAGCATGAGGAGGTGCTTTATCCTGCTGGGATCTTGTCATGTCAGGTGGAGCCCACATGTACAGCAGAAGTTGGGTCCAAGTGACTTTACACACTACCAAACGAAGCACTGTTAGACCTCCACCTCAATTGCTCTGTTGTACACACCAGTTAGAGTAACATCCTGCACATCTGCACCTTGTTCACTGATGTTCAGCATCCACTCAAAACCTTGACTCACTGCTAAAGAGCACTTGGCTTCATTTTCACCAGGCTTGACATTTAACAGCTTAAATCATATATCACCAGTTTTCAATGAATTGTCTTATTAATAGCATGACTAATAATAATTTCATCCTTGAAGGATCCCAAAGTGCTTTTGACATAGAAGATGACCCACTTCGGTCAGCTCCAGCTTCATTCAAGCACGGCACCCACCTGGGTGACACATAGCACAACAAACAGCACTACCAGTCCCACTACACAGCGGTTCAACAGGGGAATGAGGAATTGTTTCATCAATTGAATTAAAGGGGAATGTTTGGAAGAATCAGCTATACAAGTTAAGAGCAGATGTTAGCCAGGAAACTAATCTTTTGAAAAGTGCCACGGTTTCTTTAATGACCAAGTAGTCAGGATCTTGGCTTAACGTCTCTGATGGCACCACCCACAGGAAAGTGGTGGTTGGGTTGGGAAATGCTGGTTCAAAAGATCGCCACCTACTGGTACACCAGCATAACCTGCACCACAAAGCCTAGTCTTGCTTAACTTTTGAGATTTGAGAAGGTCAGACTATTTAAATATTAAGATTCTTTGGGTGTGTACAGTGGGTGGAATTAGACAATTAACATTTTAAAACAAAAAGTTTTTTTTTTTTACATGGAAAGAGTAAGGTGTTGCTTCCTTTCTACTTTAAAAAGCAAGCTCCAAAGCACACCTGGAGCCACCCCCTTATTTTGCAAAGCCGCAAAATCACAACTGGATTCAACAGATTTTATACAAGAGTTTAGCGTGACACACATTTCAGCTCTTCAGTTTTGTTGACAAACCACATCCTACCTCCCTGTCCGTGATCCTCTGGAAAAGTACACACTTTTACACAGTACAGATGTGAAATCGGTTAACCTGAACAAAATCAAATTCTGCTGCCATATTACGACTGACAGGGCTGAACACCATTTTAACAGCACTCTGGCCAGCAACTGCGAAGGTCTCCCAGGACTGCACCTGATACCTGGAACACAAGAGTCTGGAACACACTGAGGAAGGTGATGTAATACTACAGCAGAATAAAGTCTACAGATGCAAAAGGCCCAGAGATTTAAAAAGATTTTCCCTATCTGTGATACATCCATGCTCGGATTGCCTTCTCAGAAAGAATACATGCATCGGCTCCCTAGAAATTCAGAAATGGAGCAAGGAGAAGGAGTGCTGGAATCGCTACAGTATAATACTAGTCTGTAGAATAATCACTTATAATCCTGTGACCAAAGAAGACACCCTAGCTGATCTAAAGTAAAGTATAGAAGATTTTCAATGCAGGGTTGTTCTATATAGTCTGCTCACTGCAACATTTTCCCCAGCTTGGACTGACCATAGAAGAATGCTTTTCTGTGCCCACGGTAGGATTTTCTGAGATGCAACCTGATATACAGTACCCTGTCAACAGGATACTGCTTCCTGTCACACTGCATGCATTACCAAGTGTGATCCCCTGTCCTGTCATGCCAAGCGCTGAGCCTTGACCTCTACCCCATCAGACACTTGTGGAATCGCCACTCCACAGCTAATTCTCTTGCCGGCAGCTGCAGAATGGAGGCAGGTCATCCTTGGACAGTACAGCAGACTTGGCCAGCAGCATATGTGATTGAGTTGCAGCTCTTTCATTAATTCAATAAAGCTCCCAAAACAGGCAGAGCCTTCATGAAGTGGACCTACTGTCATCTGGATACTTGCATCTGGGCAACGCGGTGATTTAATCACAAGACCCATTAAATATGGAACAAGCTAGTAAAGCCATCTACAGTAAATCGAGAAACGAGAGCCTGGCCCCAGGAGATGATCTGATCAATGACTCAGAATGGGTGTTAAAGCTGAGGGTGTTTGCTCCACCCAGATAATTCAACGCTCGGATTATTTCACTGAACGGGACTGACATTTCTCCTAGAGTCAAAGCTCTCTCCTCGTCATGCGGTGCCTTAAATCAAACATTGAAGACATCTGTAATATGACCGCCTAAAACCACAATAAACAAAATGAGGTTCTTTGGAACAGTGGGCCCTGATATTAAAGCAGTAGGCCGTTCCATTACCAATAACAACAAAAATAGCCACTAGTACAAGTCTGCTTGAATATGCTTCAGTGTTTGTAAAAATGGGGCCTTTTTTGCAGAATGATTAAAATTGCAAATCAGTACCAATGGTAGCTAACAGTAAGATTTGTGGCAATTAAGACAAACTGCAGAAGAACCACTATTTAAAAATTAGAGGAGGTACAAGCAGAGGAAAGAAAAGATTGTACTTCCTGTTTTTGTTGATGTGCTGAGCCACATGATTCACCTTTTTTTACCTAGGAGTGTATTTATAAAGGGAATGGCAGATCTGACTCTTCTGATATATTATACCTCCTTTGATCAGCAGCCGGGAACCACTATGAGCATCTGGGTCATGCAATCACAGAAATCCGGAGACTCTGGAACAGCTTCAAGCACGAATTTCCATTTCAGCTAAGTGAACTGCAATACCCACTGTCACGTGACAGGAGGAAGACAGCAGGTATATGTTGCAGTGCCTTGGGCTTTAGGACTAATCATTTCTTAAGTAGAAGGCTTTTCTTCCAGCTAAGTATTCCCGAGCTTGGATTTCTGTCTATATTTTGTGAAGGACCCAGCACTCCAATTGTAGCTGTATGTTTCCCCTCCCCACACTGAATGACATGACAAAAGAGAGCAGACAGTGCGGTGAAAATGTTGAAATGTTTGCCAAGTCTCCTAG